CTGTGGTGTCACCTTATGTACCAGGCTCCAAATTCTTGAACGTACCAATTTTTAAGACAAAGGTTTTACTTATCTCATGTCATTTTAAAAGAACACGTAGTTTTGTTTTATAAAGTTGCATTTTTCCAAATATATTTTTCAAATGTACTAACCTTTTTTTTTTTTTTTAATGTTTTCACTTAACAGTTTAAAATATTGACGCCCCATAGTGATCCTCCAATTTGAAGGGTCGTATCACTGTTCATGATTGCTGGAGTTTGGGGGCCACGGGTGTAGTCCAGCCTTCCCACCCTGTTGCTGGGAAGGGCAGTCAGCGAGGGAGAGAGTTCTCTAAAATCAGAATCCAATCTGGAAGTAGAACCTAGATCTCTTGCAGCTCTAAGAATTGTGACAAAGAAAATGTTTCCTCTTGCTATGTTTTTTTGTCCTTTCCAATCCTCCACCAGGGGTCAGTGTCACAAAGCAGTGTTATACGACCCAGGTCTCGTGAGGGTGGGGGCGGGCAGGGCCAGCCTGATGGCTGCTCCATGCCATGGGGCATCGGAGCTATTGGATGACCCTACTACCCTTTCACTCACGCACAACAAAAGGAGTCTGAACTGTCTGTCTCCTATTTGCCCAGCATCCTCGGACACCATTTCAGCCCAGCTCAGGTCCCTTGGGGGGCGCCAGGTTTGGCAGTCCCACACCCTGACAGTGCCTGTAAATGTTTCTTTCTGACTGGTGACCACCTGGGGCCTCTGGGGTCTCCCAGTTCCTCTATACTTGTTCCAGTGCCCATCCATGTGGCACGCAAGTCTTTTTCTATGTTTAGCAGAACAGTGCTGTCCCTCCCGGCCTCCCTCATATCTTTCCAGCCATGCTCCTTCATGCCCTTGTATGGGCTTAGCATGTCCACATAGGTCTGTGCACCTGCTACCCTGTGAGGAGGAGGAGCAGGGAGGCTGGCATGTGCATCTGGGTGCTGCCCCCCACCCAGGAGAGCATCCTCTGGAGAGGAAGACCAGGCCGGGGCCAGGACTCAGGCCCCACTTTTCATTTTGCACTGCAAAGTCCTCAGTAGACATTCTCCTTAGGTCTTGTTCTTCCCCAGCTTGGTGAAGGAGGGCCTGTCAGGGTGGGGGAGAAGCTAGGACTAGAAGGTCACAGTAGCGGTGGCCCAGGGGAGGAGTGTGGGGTCAGGACACTAATCCTACAGGCTTCACAGGGAGGTCGGAGAGAAGGCAGCTGAAGGTAGACCCTGCTGATTTGCCTTCCTGAGGTCTGCTCTCTCCTGGGTACATGCTCACTGTGTCCCTGTTCTTCCAGATGCTCAGGGTTGGCATGGCCCCTAGCTCTGTCCTTGTCCTCAAGGCTCCTCAGGATTACCACTACCTCCTGGCTTCCCCACCTTTTTCCTCTGACACCTCTGAGGACACCTGTTCTGTGTCTGCCACTCAACTCTTCCCCTCGCCCCGTGGCTCATCTGGAAGCCCTTCCCTTCGCATGTCTCCTCTTTCCTACTGTCCTTGTCTCTGTTTTCCAGAACAGCCTCTGACTATCTATTCTTCCCCTCCCTCTGATAGGTGAAGTCAGAAGAACAGATTGCAGCTGAAGAGGCCTGGCATGAGACAGAGAAGGTGTGGCTGGTCCATAAGGATGGCTTCTCGCTGGGTGAGTTTTGGGAGATCCAGGGGCAGATG